GTAATAAAAACACAATGATTCTTATATTCAGGTGATTATACACTAATGAAACATACCTATGAATATTATATTCCACCTTTAAGAGACAAACAAATTCCAAAACCATCTAAAATAATGTCAAAACAATACATATAGAAGCAAATGCATTGTTTTAGTAATTTCTTAGGTGGGATTCAGTTCCTCAAATGTGAAGATAACTTTGTCACATATATAAACAACTGAATATCTTTAGAGTTCAGAGAACAGGCATTGTATTAACTTAATTGATAATGAAAATAATAGTTAGTTGAAGCCCTATTATGCATCCTAACCAACAGGCCACTAGCATGAACCCAAAATGCTTACTTCAGTTTTTCTCAAATAGTTTGTCAGATCCCTGGAGGAATACAAACGTGCCCCAGAGAACATTAAAAATTGAGGTGTGTTACCTGCCAGTATGGGCAGCAAGGTATGGGACCAGGTGAGGAATGGAGCTACGGTAGTAAGAAGGGGAGAGATGGGGAGAAGGCAAAGGAGAGGGACAGCATGGACTACTCAGCTCCAGTGCTGGCATATTATCCACCTGGAATACACATCAATGTATACACACACAGACATCCCTCTGTTTACTTACAGGTAATGCTGAAATGCTGAATTAATCCCACATAAGTGGAGTGTAGTGTATTAAACAAACACTCCTTAATGGATTTTTAAGGTGTGTGTGTGAGATTGTGTGTTACCTGTGGATATATGGACGGCTGTATCTGTTTATCCAATGAGCTGGTAGATCCTGACTTTCCTGTACTCTGAGAGGAAATGGCTGCAAGTGCTTCTGGGAGATTATCTTCATCTTCGTGGTTACTGATGAGCAATAAATTAAGAGAGACTGAGTGACTTACATGACCTGCAGATTGTTCTGAACTGAAATGTCATGTTCAAAGAGCGCAGATAGGTCGTAGTGCTTGGTGGAGTGTTTTGTTTCCAGCGGCAGTTTCCCTCTTGGAGCTCTGCCCTTCAACAGTAATGAAAGGTGACGTGTACTCACAAGCTGAACTGTCTGACCAGTCGTTTTCTGCGGGTGGTGCTTGTGTTGGATTTGGACTGCAGTGTCTCTGGTGTCGGGTGGCGGTCTTGCCGATGTGGCGTCTTGTCTGCAGTCAGACTGGATGCAGCCGAGTCTTGAGACGAGCTCTGATACCTGAAGACCAGAGAGTCATCACATGGACAGTTAGTCCTAAGTACACGTGTGCAGAAACATGTGTAAGCACGTGAAGATGGGATGAGGGTACTGGCCTGTCATTGAGGGTCTCATTTGAGTTCTTCATTCTTGGTGTTGTTGGAGCTTCCTTCTTCATCAGGGAGGAGAAGAGGACACTGCTGTTATTTACACTACAGTACACAAGGCTTAGACGGTTAGGTGGAAGTGTGGTACTCACCCTGAAAGCCGCTTCCATCTGGGCCTTGAGGATGTTACACTTGAGATGCTCAGGGAGCATCGCTGGGGAGGCGGGAGGGTGCAGAGACTTCTCAGACAGCTGCTTCTCCTCTCCCTGGCAGGGGAGCAGGGAGGAAGGTAAAGGGACTGTTGTTGTGAGCAGAGTGGGAGAAGTGTGTGTGTGGGGAAAGAGCCTGACCTTGTTGTCCATGTTGATGTGCAGTGAGGGCCAGGGGGGAGAATCACTGTCTGACTCCAGAGCCTTGAGCAGAGACTGAGATATGTCCAGCTCATCTGCAGGGCAGGGAGGAGCTCGACGTTCTGTAATAATACAAAGTTTAATGAGAAAACACACTACAGGCTACATTTGTGTTTGTATAGACATGCTGTGTCATGAATACCTTTGTTTCTTTAGTATGAACAGACTCATTGGGTTGGCCTACTTGTTACTAGGTTTGGTGTGGGAGGTATAAATATATACGCTTTACACGATAAAATGTGTTCAAAAGGGGCAGTTAACTTAAGTTACAAAAACTACTTTTCCAACTGAACCCTGGCCAGATTTCTGCCGTCACCTCAGTACAAAACAGGTGAAAGACATTACTTTCCTGCAGTCATTCGTGGTTACTGGTTTACTGGCCATTAAGACATCCCTTGATAATGCACTTTCAGTGTCAGAGATGGGGGACAAAAAGTTGACAGATGCCTGTCAAAAATGTTTTCCAAAGTTCATCTGAAGCTAATTTGTATCTTTCAAAGTTGAAGCATTTTTAGTATAAAGGTTGTTTGTGGTACTATCCCTCCACTGCAGCCCAACAATATGTCAGGCTGCACAGCTGCTTGTCTGACGTGGGGATGAGCAGCACTGGCACACCCCAAAGAACTGTACTGTCACCGTCTCTGTTCACCCTCTACACCTCAGATTCTGTTCCAACTCTGGAGAGTGCCACCTACAGAAGTTCCCAGATGACTCCTCCATTGTCGGCT